AAGGAATTCAAACCAAGGCTCAGACTATGTAAGGATAAGAAGGGGCATATACTAAATACAAAAGAAGAAGTACTGAAAAGGTTAATGGAACACTTTAAAGAACTATTTACTATAGAAGCAGAAGATCCAGATCCAAATCAACCACCCGCAGGAGCAAGCAACAATTCACCATTAGAGCCTCCATCAATTCAAGAAGTACGAGATGCAATAAAACACCTAAAAACAATAAATCTCCAGGAAGTGATGGTATACCCGCGGAACTTATTAAATGTGGAGGTGCTACTGTGACTAATCAAATATATAAAATAATACTGAGAGCCTGGAATAAGGAACAAATCCCGGAAGAGTGGTGTATTGGAATCGTTTGCCCGCTACATAAAAAGGGTAACCAATTGGAATGTAGAAACTATAGGAGAATAACCCTCCTTAATACAGCATACAAAATATTTTCGAGGATATTATATGGTCGGCTAAGTACATATTCAGAGGAACTTCTCGGGGAATATCAAAGTGGCTGTAGGCCTGGTTGATCAATAACAGATCAGATCTTTGTGCTAAGGCAAATACTGGAAAAAACCAATGAATTCAATATCGATACATACCATCTTTTTATAGACTTTAAATCTGCCTATGATAGTGTCCTAAGAAATAAATTGTATGAAGCCATGAATAAATTTCACATCCCCGATAAACTCATAAGATTGGTTAAGGCTACAATGCGTAATGTGGTTTGCAAAGTCGAAATACAGGGCGAACAATCACAGGCGTTTGGAACGCATGTTAAGCTGTGACAGGGAGACGCGCTGGCGTGTCTCCTTTTCAACATAGCACTGGGAAAGGCGATCAGAGATGCCCGAATAGACAACAGAGGAAATATTTTTAATAAATCATCCCAAATTTTGGCATATGCAGATGATGTGGACCTAGTTGTCCGCACAACATGCAAGTTAGAAAAAATGTATACCACCTTCTCAAATGCCTTAAAATCTATGGGCATGCAAGTAAATGAGGAGAAAACTAAGATGATGACATTAAAACTAAACAATAGAGTCAGGAACATCTGTCTCCAATTTACGGTTGATAACTCCTAAGTGGTTGACAAATTCACATACTTAGGCTCCCTGATCACCAAAAAGAACGCCATAACGGAAGAAATTAAGCGAAGGATAATAATAGCAAACAGATGCTATTTTGGACTGAGTAGACATATGAGAAGTAGAAACTTAAGCCAAAAAACAAAAATAACTATATTATAAGACCTTCTGCTTATATTTGAACGAAGGATCCTGAGAGGAATATTTGGTGGCATCTGTGAAAATAGTGTTTGGAGGAGGAGATACAACTACGTGGTATTCCACAGATATAAACAAATATTTGGTGGTAAAGACGTAGTATCTCTTATAAGAATAGGAAGACTAAGATGGGCAGGACATCTAGCAAGATCACAGCAGAACAACCCTCCTAAAAGAAGCCCTATGTCACAACCCGTGGGAAATAGAAAAAGGGGTAAGGCAAAACTCGGAAGGATGGTGTAGATGAGGATGGTAGAAAGATAAGCGCAGCAAACTGGCAACGGTTGGCAATGGATAGGACTGCCTGGCGTAATAGACTTGGGAAGGTCGAGGCTCTTTCATAGGGCTGTAGCACCATTGATGATGATGATCCGGCAATCTATATCATGATGGCGTAGCTAGATGGCGATTAATGTTTCTCACAGAATGTAAAAGCAGCTGCTGAAAAAAATCATCAATACAGCGATATCTTAGTCTATGTTCTGGTAACAAGTAGAAATAAAAAACATTTATTTTATTATATTAAATATTAACAACAAGCATTTATAGATTTTTAATCGTGATAATCAAGCAGTAATATTTTTTTATTGTTCCAGGTATATCGCATGCTACATTTGTGTGTTACGTTCTACAAATGTTTGAAACCTAATAGTTAGAATCGTCTGTAGTATACAAAACTCATTATTTAATAGAAACATGATTTATTCTCATTGGCACTCAAATTTGCACTTGGCACTGATACTGACTTTCAGTTTCTTAATGCTTAATGCAAGAATGGAAAACCTTGCGAACACCGTTTGCTATGAAAACACAACCTTCAGAAAGCGGAGACAAAAAATAATAATTTAAAAGATATTATTAGGTTCTTTAAACATTTTATGAAAGACTAAAACAGAGAACTAAAGATTTATGTTGTAATGATATATTTTATTTAACATATTTAAAATTTATTTAAAAGGATTACAATTCTTCAAACGTTTTCGGTGTAGTAGGACAATTATCCGAAAAACATTTTAAAAGTAGTTGAAACGAGCTACGAAAATAGTTGTAAAAACCTTTGAATTACATGAAAATCACGGTTAATTGTATTAACATAATGACAGGAGGTCGATTTAATAGGATTTCACATAAAGGAAATAAACAATGAACATACATCTTCCCTGCTCGAAAGGAGGACGAACATATATATATATATATATATATATATATATATATATATATATATATATATATATATATATATATATATATATGTATATACAGAGTGGCCCAAAAGTCTGGAAACGCTAATTATCTCGTAAATTACTAAACATAATTATACAAAATTTGAGATACGCCTATCTTGGGATACGGAGATTCCATATTTGGTATTTGCAATGTTGCCAGATTTTCAGTTTCTCTTATATTACTAGTAACTTTGGTTTTTCAAATACATCACCCTGTATATTCAGTCATTATTGGAACTTCCTATTCAATACGAGTTCAACCATATGTAACACTTATGATTTTATGTAGTTTGGAAGGTCTTAAATACATAAAACAGAAGTCTGGTAACGCCTAAATTGTTTCAATGCATTTTTGAATACTAACTATTTTCAAATACATTAAAACGTAACAATTGATAGTTTAGAATATTTTTTAACATAATAGTTACGTTATTAGGTGTTCAAAATGTGCTCCATTTGTGAGTTGACAGCACTCTAATCGATGGTAGAATGCGTCTACCACATTTCTCCATGATTGTCTAGAAATTATTCGAGATTCATCGATAATTCATTGCCTTAGCTATGCAAGACTTGCTGGTTAAGTTTTGTAAACTGAATTTTTCAAGTATCTCTAATAAAAATAATCTTTAGGATTGAGATCGGGTGAACGTGGAGGCCATTCAATTCTACCTTGTCTACCAATTTATCGTCCGGGAAATATCTCATCTAAATAACGCCGAACATTTACACCAACTATCTGACGTTAAATTTCTTTCGATAAAAAAATGTTTCAATTAAATAAGTACCTACTATAACTGACCATACATTTAATTTTTGTGGGCTTTGAGTATGGTTTTAACGCATTCAGTGTGAATTTCACACGAGTTTAGCTATTCAATACGAGTTCAACCATATGTTCACTTGATTTTATGTAGTCTGAAACATCTTAAATACATAAAACAGTGCAAAATATGTAGATTTTTTAAATTTAAATATTTAAATGGAGAATGCTGTGATTTTGACATTTGTTCACCATTTAAATTATGAATTAAAATTTACAGTAGTTCTGGTTCAAAAATTTCTGCAAATTAAATTGCTTCTCTAAAATGCCGTTCTCTAAACCGTTCTCCTATTCATAAGACGACGGTACAAAAAACTGTAAGGCGATTTGAGGAATCTGGAGAAGTAAAAGATAGATACCGATCAGGTTGACCGAAACGAGTTATCAATGATAACAAAACTTCAGATATAAGCAAAGTTTTGTTGAAGATCCACATACATCCCCAGGCAGGGTTGCACAGTCTTACGTTTATTACGTAAAAATAAATTTAAATCATAAAAAATTAACTTATTGCAAGAATTAAGTGAAGATGACTTTCGTCGTAGATTAGAGTTTACTGAGGTAATGCTCGATAAAATTGAAAATTATTAAAATTTCGTTAACAGAATATATTTTTCCGATGAAGCAACTTTTACACTGTGTGGAACTGTCAATCGACACAATTTAAGGTACTGGTGTGACGTAAATTCACACTGAAGACTGAATGCGTGAAAAATATATTTAGATGGCGATATTAAGATGAGATATTTCCTGGACGATAAATTGGTAGACAAGGTAGAATTGAATGGCCTCCACGTTCACCCGATTTCAATCCTAAAGATTATTTTTATTAGGGATACTTGAAAAATTCTGTTTACAAAACTTAACCAGCAAGTCTTGCAAAGCTAAGGCAACGAATTATCAATGAATCTCAAATAATATCTAGAAAATCATGGAGAAATGTGGTAGACGTCTCCTACCATCGATTAGGGTGCTGTTAACTCACAAATTAAGCACATTTTGAACACTTAATAACGTAACTACTATGTTAAAAAATGTTCTAAACTATCAATTGTTACGTTTTAATGTAACTTTAAAATGGTTAGTATTAAAACATGTATTGAAACAATTTAGGCGTTGCCAGACTTCGGTTTTATGTATTTATAACCTTCCAGATTACATAAAATCATAAGTGTGACATATGGTTGAACTCGTATTGAATAGGAGATTCCAATAATGACTGAATATATAGGGTTATGTATTTGAAAAACCAAACTTACTAATAATATAAGAAAAACGGCAAATCTGGCAACATTGTAAATATTAAATATGGAATCTCCGTATCCCATGATAGGTGTACCTTAAATTTTGTACAATTATGATTAGCATTTTACGAGATAATTGGCCATTTCCAGACTTTTGGGCCACTCTGTATATAAATTGCAATAAAACACTTAAATATCTTTAAAAGTTTATATTTGTTTCTTAAAAAGTATAGACACATTTCGACACCTATCTATATTCTTTATATACAAATTCTACGTTGATGATTAAAAGTATTCATTAGAGACTAGACACTAGAGACAAACTAATACATTTAATACATACAAGTTGTTGATTTTTAAAATAACATACCATCTGTTTCAGTAAAATTAAAATTAAGTATATTAAAACCTGTTACATTATAGATTCAAAACCTTTGAACGAAATCATGAAGTCTGTAAATGGTGACAAATATTTATATATATTTGTGGGTCGTCACGACCCTCTAAAAGTATTACTACAAACACATAAGTTAAATAAGAAAAAGCGTCTAAAGGGTAATAAAAACCAAAATAAATTTTCAATTTAAATGACAACAATTAAAGTAGGAAATGTGTAATATAAACCATGTAAAAGCTATAAATAATAGCAAAAAAGCAACTCGTAAAATTACAAATGTGAATGTGACATCCATTAGCCTATGCCATTAAAGAAAAGAAAGTCAGAAGAAGACAGTCAAATTGATGCAGAGAATTCGAAACATTAGAAACCATGAACTTAATAAAAAATTAGCAAAATATATCTAAAAAAAACTTAAATAAAAAAATAGAGCCAAATAGAAAAGCCGTAGAAGCGGTATTACAATTTTTAATACAGAGCTATAATATTACAGATAATTTTGAGCTAAAACATAATGACTAAGCTAAAAAGAAAGAAGGAAAATAGAGAATTGTAACGTTGACTGCCAGAAGAGTATGTAAACTGATATTTCTAGAGATTGATTTGAAAATTCACTTATCTAAAACATGAAGCCCAATAGTAAAAAAGTATTTAAAATACTAGTAAAAAAAGTACAAACACACTAAAACTAATGTTACGTAAGTAGTTCCATAAAATAAACCTATTATTTAAAGCTGTTCTTTAAGATTGTTAACTCTTCTTGAAGTTTCCTTAGTACTGATGTCTGGTTATTAATCTAAAAATTTAAATATGAAATTAGAAAATAAATGTACATATGCATATAAATTGGACCAAAACCAATATGTAATACAATTAAAGGGCTTATTGCTATATAATGACAAGCCAAATTGGTTCATTTTCTGGATATTTGCATTATTCTGGTTAGGAATACAATGCTAAGCCACAGAGTAAGTAGTTTCGCAATCAAATTACAGATAATAGTACATAAACGGTATCATTATATTGCACAGTGGTGTTTCTGTCAAATATTTTATGCAAATAGTGACAAGCCACTTTCTAATATGGCCACCGCCTACTCGCCTGTGACAATCTGTGACGATAAGGACGGTATTTTTTGTAAAAATGTGGAGCAACTAGATAGCACAAATAGCAATAATGATCGACGTAGTGGTCTACCATTAGATGATAGTGGTTAAGATCCAAATTATGATCTTGATTCAACGGTAAGCGTATTTTTTTAAGTGTGGTCATCATATTGTACTTTAGAACATTTTCCATTTTTATTGTGCGAATTTGTAAAAATAATAAGAATGGCAACAATAATTATTATAATAAGTTATTATTATGATTTTTATTATATTTGTAATACATTTTTCTTTGTTAACCTGATTGTGTAGAATTTAGTGTGACTTGTCATTATATAGCATATTAAAAATAATCTTTTTTTAGGACGATTTGGAAAATGTTTTGAGTGAGAACATTTAGAAAAGCAATGAGAACGTAAAAGGCGAAAATTAAAAAAACATATCCCATTGGCGAAAACGAAAATCGTCTGACTCCAAAAAAAAAACCGAAGGCAAATTAAACGTAATAAGGGACAGAAATATTATAGTGAAAGTACAAACAAAATAATGAGAGCTCGAGAAATTGGACTATCTTGCCTTTGTTAAAGATAATGTGCAACAAAACCTAATGAAAATCGAGAAATTATTTTTACACAATTCTGGAATCTTGGGTTATTTGTTATTCATATGGCAAAAAAAAATATTATCCGACGAAAAGTAAAAGGGCAGTGCCTAGAAAAAAATACAGTGTGGAATACTACGTTACTGTCAATACAATAATTACTGTCATACAGTTCGGGTACTCCTATGATTAAAAAAAATAGATGGTTGTGGAAAACATAATACTAAACCAAACGGAATAAGCGATGAAGCTATTCAGTATGTAAAAGACCATAATAACCATATTCATAAGTACCAAAGTCACTATAGTCGATCTGATAATCTGGGAAAGACATTTAAATAGTGATGTCAGTGACTCATTAATATGAAAAGTTTTATGTTTCATTGTGTGAACATAAGGTAAGGGTATACTATCAGTTTCTGCATCGACATAATATAGGAAAATCTTTTGTACCGATTTGAACGTAGGTTTTAAATTGCCAAAATCCGACACCTGTAAGACATATGATGAAACGTTAATTAAAATAGAAGCAGCCATAGTTGAGAACAATGACGAAATAATAGCTTCTTTCACGACAAATTTAAATCTTTATAAAGTACATACAAAAGCAACGCGGGACTTGCTAAAAACAGAACCTGCTGATGAAAAAACCAATAATAAAAAATTAGTTGTAACATTTGAAACTGACTAGGAGTACTTTTTACTGCAGAAAAATATGGCCTTATAATGTTGGTATACATGACTGTGGTTCGGAAAAGGGGCACATGTTTGTATGGACAGAAGACACAGCTAAAAGAGGTAGTGATGAAATTGGAAGTCATTTTTAATGTTTTTATCTAATAAGTTAGGCACTGACAACTGTCCGGGTCAAAATAAAAACTGGACATTAATGGCCTTCTGATTGCAAACGGTTAAAGAGAGGAAATTTAAAAAAATTACCCACCCCTTCCTTGTTACCGGCCACACGCACATACCATCAGATCGGGACTTTGTTCTCATAGAACAAGAATATATTCCCAATCAAACTGGTATGATATTATAAACAAATCAAAGAAAAAAATCCTTTAGAGGTCACATTTGTGAAACAAACATCAGTATACTACAACAGAATGCCAAAAGAGCGACCAAAACTGACCACAGTAACAAACTTGATTTTTCATGGGTGTTTTCATTTATATGCGACATTAACACTCCTAATGCTTGTTTTAATAAGTACGCTGTTAATGGTGCACACCAGAAATTTAATTTATTAAAAAAAGGAAGGACGGCACTGCTAACACTCGATTCGTTAAAACTTAAATACAAAAAGCCTGTCGAAATTTCGAAAAAAAGATAGACACCATAAAAATTTCAATGCCAAGCATACCACCCCTATATCACAATTATTATGAATCCCTTCTGCCTGACCAAAATGAAGATGGTGAAGCAGAATTGCTGGAGTAACATAATTCTAGTTGGTTCATGTATGTATATCAAAAAGTGTTTTTTTTTTTCTTTTACAAAGCCACATTTAAAAGCCACATAAAAAATGTTAATTATGTGTTTCTGAGCATACCAATGCATATTCTAGATACGAGGTAAATCAGGACTGCTTGAAGGCCATTTTAAAACAGTAATATTTATTTCCTATAACAACAATGTTAAAGATTTATGGTACTGCCTGCCACTGTATGGCAAGCTCTTGTTAAAATATAAATCCGGTTGAATTTCATTAATGAAAGGAAATAAGTCTTATCGTAAGATACTTTTGTATTTCACTATATTAATAATGCCATCAATGACAAGAAGATATCCAATTTCTTGAGAGTACATACAGCCCCATACGATCACAGATGCCGGAACCTTAACGATTCTTTTGAGGCAATCCTGATGATTTGAGGTTTTGTCCTGGCATTCGAATAATTTTACCTCGTGTATCGGGAAACAAAGACAAACTTAGCTTCATCACTCGAAGTAACTAAATCCCATTTTTTAACACAGTTTCTGGAGCACGAGCACGAACACCTTACAGTGATATCTGTGAAGGCAAACAGGTGAATGCAGGTGGAAATAACAGCACTCATCATATGTTACCCAACAGTATAAAAGATAGCGATGGAAATCTTATCTCGGAGCCATCAACGATCTTAGAAACATTGAAATCATACATAGAAAAATTACTGATCAGGACTGATGATCACCTATATGAAGAAGGAGCAACAGGACCTTCAATCCTTAAATCGGAGATAGAAGATACATTGCAGCACTAATAAACAATAATTCAGTAGGTCCGGACAATGTACCCTGCGAAATATTAAAGATGCTATGTAAATCAGACAAACAGTTCCTTCTTTATCTAGTTGTACTTTTTAACAATATATATAATAGCGGTAAAATCCCGGAGAACTGGCTCCAGTCAACATTTATTACAATCCCGAAGAAACCAAATGCCCAGATGTGTGATGACTACCGGCTTATAAGCTTGATTAACCATGTCACTAAAGCGTTCACTAAGACCATTCATAGAAGAATATATGATAAATGTGAGTCAAATATTGATAAATCGCAGTTTGGTTTTCGGAAAGCACTTGGAACTAGAGAAGCAGTTTTTGCTCTTCAGGTGCTTATACAGCGGTTTAGAGACGTTGATAGGTCCGTGTATTTGTGCTTTGTGGATTTTAGAAAAGCATTTGACAATGTCAATCATGAACAATTGATAGATATTCTGCGAAAGAAAGGTATTAACGACAAGGACGTTCTAATTGTGGAAAACCTATACTGGGGTCAAACAGCAAAATCAAAAATTGGCAACGAACTCACTGGAAGTGTGCAGATCAAAAGATGTGTCCGTCAGGGGTGTATCTTATCCCCACTTCAATTTAATGTTTATTCCGAGGAAATATTTAACAAATGTATGGAAAATGAAAATGAGGGCATAAAAACAAACGGCGAATTAACGAACAATATAAGATCTGCCGACGGCACGGTGATCCTTGCCAGTACCAGAGACGAATTACAACAGATAATGAAAAAAGTTTATTTAGTTAGTGAGGAATACGACCCGAGCCTCAACTTCAAGAAGACAAAGTGGATGCTGATAAGCAAAAAGCAACAACCTGCTCGACAATTACGGATAAGTAACATACTAATTGACCATGTAGAATCTAATATGTACCTTGGCATCAACGTAAATGCACAATGGGAACAGACCACAGAAATTAAGGCGAGAATAGAACGAGCTAGAGCAGCATTTAAAAACTACGTTCCCCTAAAACTACATCTAGTTAAATGCTACATTTTTCTGATCTTACTATCTGAAAATTTTAAGAGAAATCTAAATATTTGTACATCATTTTTCTAAAGAAGCCGACGACCCTTAGCATTCTCTCGCAAGTCACCACTGCTGAATACAAAGTTATGTATGGATTTCATCGATTTTTGAACGAAAGGTTCTACGCAATATATTCGGAGCGGTCTGTGAGAACGGAATATGGAGGCGTAGATATAACTTTGAACTGCAGAATATCTAGATAAGATGCAAAGAAGATCGGAGTCGGCAACTGGAAAATGCAAGCAAGGGACAGAACAGAATGGCGTAGAAAGCTTGAGAAGGTCGAGGTCTTCTATGGGCTGTAGCACCAAAATGATATATAGATATCATTTCAGAGTTACAAAAATGTTAAATATAGTAAATACACTACAAAAAATTGTACAATAAAACAAAATAAAACTTACCTCTTTATGAGCATTGCAGGATTTAATCATTATTTCCGTTTTATCTTTCTTCAAATCATCTAGTTCCTTTTGGCTAATCTGTAAATGATTTGTAAGCGTCTTACAAATATCTTCGTAGTAAAAAAAATGGTTATCAGGATTAAGAATGGCATCAATCTCTTTTAACTCCATATCACTTTGCAGAGAAGTTTCAAATTCTAATGTTCTATCTTCGTCGACTAAATTTAAAATATTTTTGTTTAAATCTGATACTATTTTATAACACAAATCTTCAATTTGAATATTACATCTTTCTCTGTTGCTATACATATCTCCTGCAATGCTACCGATTTTAAGAATAGCATCCCTAATTATGGAATTTTGTTGAGATGAAAATTCTGTTTTCAAATTCTCGATAGCATTATAAATTTCATTTTGGATTTTGTCTGATAACTGACTTTTATAATTATAACGATGGGTTGGAGTAATGGTGTGATTAGTGGTATTTCCAATTTTGTTTAGCTTATTTTGACATTGATTTACTAATAAGTCATCTTTGAATTCTTTAAAAGAATTGTGAAGATTATTTATATCCCGGCTTACATGATCTATTTTGTCTAAAATCTTCTTTTCAAAATTGCTTCTACTAGAATCAGTATAATGCTTCACACAACTTTTTTCCGTGTTCCTAATATCTTCGGAACTTGTGTAACTGTGGTAATCGTCGTCAAAGAATTCTTCGATTGTACAAAATTTTATATCATTTAGCCGATTTGACCCATTCTGCTTATACTCTATATTCTTGTCTGTGTTTTGTATATATGAGCTATTCTTTTCTCTGAAAGAAATTCTCTTAGTGTCAGATCTGGTAAAAATACTTTCCCTTTCTTTAATTTTGTCTGAATCGGTAATGTTAATTTTTTTCTTATCCGGAGTCGAGCATGCTTTTAGACCTCTTCGAAAATTCTAAAAAAAATGGTGTCAAATAAATTATTTTATATAAAAAAATTATATAGGGTAAAGGTACCAGTAAATAGGCACGCATCAATGAATAAACATGAACACAGAACTATCAAATTCTTAAAATTCAGAAGATTATGTTAAAATAATGGATACTGTATATATTAGGATTTTCCTATGACGTACATTGATTGGCTTAAACCTGGCACGTAATTATTAGAAACTATAATGGCGGATTGTAACTGTGCATGTGGATACTGAACGGCGTGGTATGAACACTGGCTAATAAGATACGTACTACAAACCACTGTAATGGAGGCCATACACGTTAGGGTTTGCATGATGGTTTTAACCTTACGTGCATAACCGACAGGTATAACCATCGAGCAAAAAGACAAAAGAGGGAATCTAATCGTTATGAAAAGGAGACCAAAAAAGTGGCCTCTGATTGCCGACATATCCGGAAATGCAAAGGCGCTAAATTTAAATTTTCCGACACTTATTAACAATAGCTATAAAATATTTTTCAGACGAGAAAGTTTTAATTAAATATTAACGATAATAGTCTAAAAAGTGATACAATTGGCAAAAAGCTTCAATATAAATAAAATTTTATGTGACAGTTAGGACAAACCGGACAAACAATAACATAACCAAACTAAATATACAAAGAATATTACGTTTCGATTTGAACTAACTAAATTTGATTTCTTAAACAAGGAAAGAGACTGTCTTTCCTTGTTTAAAGTGGCCTCTCAACATAGCACTTCCTGTCTAACAATATTTTTGTCCCCACTACCTTTACATTCCCTCTTTTGTCTTTTTGTTCGATGGGTATAACTGAGGTTCCATATTACACATACACGTTAGGGTTTACATGCACAGTTTTGCCATTAAAAAGGTCTATTCTCATTAGACGTGCCAGGCCCGTGCTCGTCACCTGACCGGCACATGCCATGCTTTTGGTAAATATTCACACTATTCGCGCTCGTAGCATGCTTTCAGCGGTATTTTGCACAGACAGTTGGTTAGACGTGTCGTTGAGTAGTTGTGCAGTTGTAATGGTTTCCACGGTAACTTTAGTAAAAATTGCATTTTTTACTTTGGATGCCGAAGAATAAGAGAATATGAGAGATAAAGTTAAAAAATGAGGTTTTGGATACATCCAATGTTTAAGAAAAGACAAATATAAGGAGAATACTATACCTTGTATAAAAAACTCATGGATAATGAGTCAAAATTTTATATATATTATAGAATGTCAATTGCCGAATTTCAGCAGAATTACCAGCAGAATGCGATTTTGAACAAATTGCCAAAAAATTTTGGTTGTCGTGGAATTTTCCCAAGGGCATTAGGAGCCCTAGATGAAAAGCACATCAAAATTATAGCTCCAATCAATAGTGGTTCCAGTTACTTTAACTACAAAAAGATTTTTTCTGTGATTCTACTTGCTTTAGTAGATATATAGTTCAACTTGCTCTAGGAAATCACCATAAACCATTTTTGCCCTTAAAAAACTCACTCCCTCCATTTTCCGAACTCAGGTCGCCCGTAAATTACTTTTTCTTTTATTTATGTCATATCATCTTTCTTTTCCAACGAGTTTGACCCTACTATTATTTTTTCTTGTTTGAAATATTATCGGCAGTGGTCTATTACCTAGATAAAATATAGTGTTTTATTTATCTATTTTAATATTTTCTCGAATATCCCACCATACCTGAGACTTATGTGCTGCATCTGCATACAGTCGATTCATAAAATCGTATAATTCACTCCTCTCACGAACTAATTCTATTAAAAATTCAGTAGTATAATGTGAAAATAATTTTTTTCGTACCATTTTGCCTGTCGAAACTTGTCTGAAGTATTCACACTATGTAGGATTGTGCAAGGAATATGCCAGGCATGGGCTAGGAAAATATTGTTTGAAAAGATTGTTCGATGCCGGACACGGACCTTTCCCACTCCGAGCACTTGTAGTGAGAACGGACCGTCGCTAAACCCATTTAAATAACGTTAAAGTAATTTTGCACGTCTCGAGCAGGGCACATGCCGAGCACATGCCTGTGGCACTATAGTGAGAATGGGCCTTAACTCTTCTGTTAAGCTACGTGACGGTGTGAGCAGAACGCCTTCGGTACTTTGTGCGGTATATACCTACCAAACTACAATAGACGACAACGATGTGATAGCTGGACTTGGCTTAACATTTATTCTTCAGAAAAGAAAAAAAAGAGAGATCGCACTGAATGGTCTAAACGTTGGTTAAGAAAAAGAAATAATTTCTCCCACGTAAGTTTGATAAATGAATTGAGATTTAAACCAACAGATCACAAAAATTATTTACGAATGGATGAAAAACTTTATTTAAAACTATTATCATTGATAACTCCGTTAATACAAAGACAAGATACTATTATGAGGAAAGCAATATCAGCACAAGAGAGACTAACAGTTATATTAATATTTCTTGCAACAGGAAGAACACACGAGTGTCTCAAATATTTTGCTATTATATCACCTCAGGCTTTGGGCCAATAATACCTGAAACATGTCAAGCTATGGGAACTATGAATGGCAGGCAAGCTCGCCGGACGCCACATACGCTAGAGTATGCTCACAGTCAAGCTAAACTTAGAGGCATAAAATATATGAATTTTCGTATTTGCTTGGTTGTATGTACATGCACCGATAACTGTACAGTTTTATCACATACACGCTAGGGCTTGCCTGTCGGTTATGCATGCAAGGTTAAAGCCATAATGCAAACCCTAAGGTGTATGGCCTCCATCAAATTTACTAGATTTTAGAGTAATCCGTAACCAAATAGATTACATATTGGTCAACTAAAGATATCACAATGCAATCATCAGTGCAAAAACATATCCTGGAACTGACATCAATTCCGATTATAATCCTGTTGTTGGAAAAGTCCGCGCAAGATGGAAAATAATAAAGAAACAAAAACCTTAACACCAACTATTAGACATCCAATTATTGAAAAACGACACCATACATCAGACAGTAAATAAAGAATTAAATAAAAATTTAGGAAATATCGACCACAATAGAATTGCGAGTACGGTGACATAAACGTTCTGTGGAAAACTATTAAAGAACAAATGAACAATGTAACGGAAAAACATCTAAAAGTAACACCTAGAAATAACAAACAGGAATGGATGACAGAAGAGATTTTACAATTAATGAACAAATGAAGAGAATCTAAAGGAAAAAATAACAAGGACGGAGAATACAAAAGACCAAATAGAATAATTCGAAAAAAAAAAAATAACCGAAGCAAAAGAGAAATGGCTGGAAACAAAATGCGTTGAAATAGAAGAACTGCAACAAAGGCACGATTTCTTTAATTTACATAAAACGGCAAAAGAGTTCACATCGACTACCAAGAGAACGACTTTTCACACCATGCTGAATACGGATGGCAAACTGCTAGAATCAACGGAAGATAAACTGAAAGAATGGGAAAACTATATTAAAATTCTTTTTCACGACATACGAGAAGAACCAAGATTGGAAAATAACAATGAAGGGCCACAATTCTGAAATCTGAAATCATAAATGCAATTAATCATCTCAAAACAAATAAAAGACCAGGTCCAGACGGAATATACCCAGAAACGTTAAAATTAATCAGCGAAGAAAATATCGAAATATTTGTCCTTTTATTCAATCGCATTTATGATACTGGTAAAATACCTCAAGATTGGCTGGAGTCAATATTCATCCCACTACCAAAAAAGCCAAACCCACAACACTGCAATGAGTTCCGTCTGATAAGCCTTATGAGTCATGCAGTAAAAGTCCACTAAAGATCGTACATAATCGTGAATTTGACTCCGCCTTCGCGCAGCGCCATGGTCAAGAGTGATTGCGCGCACTATATCTATAAAAAGTGCGAAACAATCATCGGAGACGATCAGTTTGGATTCAGAGCCGGCATGGGAACGAGAGAAGCCCTGTTCAGTTTACTAGTTCTCGCCCAAAAATGATACGATCAACGGAAAGATGTATTTATATGCTTTATAGACTTCGCAAAAGCATTTGATAGAGTAAGACACGACCTACTATTAGAACGTTTGCAAGAAGTCGGTTTAGATGGAAAAGACATCAAATTCTGAAAAAACTTATACTGGAACCAAAACGCCAGAGTTAGGATCGAAGGTTCCACATCCGCAGAAGTAGAAATAAGGAGGGGAGTTAGACAAGGATGTGTTCTGTCGTCTCTGCTGTTTAATCTTTACTCCGAATTTCTATTTAAAGAAGCATTGGAGGATTCCAAGGATGGAGTCAAAGTGAATGGCGTAAATATCAACAGTATCAGATACGTCGATGATACAGTGTTAATTGCGGATTCCGACTTAGGTCTACAACGACTCATCAACAAGACCAACTCGACCTGTGAGCAATTTGATATGAAAATAAACATTAAAAAAAGCCAAAGTGATGTCAATCCGAAAAAACCAAAACGTACCTCAACCTTGCACAATAAATAGGCACATTTTAGAACTGGTCAATAGATTTAAGTACCTGGGATGTTGGATCGATAGCAGACTAAATCCTGATCTAGAAATAAGATCGAGAATAGAACAGGCCAGAAAATCTTTCGAAAAAATAAAAAAAAATTGCTTTGTGATTCTCGAATAAAACTCGAAATTCGACTACATTTATCAAAATGCTACGTCTGGTCGACTCTTCTATATGCAGTTGAAACGTGGACCCTTAAAATATCAACCATAAATAAATTGGAGGCCTTTGAAATGTGGATCTTCCGGAGAATACTCAAAATTTCATGGACATATCATACCTCAAACGAAGAATTGCTGCATAGAATAGGCAAGGAAAGAGAACTTTTTAACACAGTAAAAGTTAGAAAAACATCATACCTAGGCCACATACTGAGAAATAATAAGTACCAATATGCCCAACTTATAGTGAAAGAAAAAATGGAGGGAAAGAGAGGCCGAGGAAGGAAAAGACTATCGTGGCTCAGAAACATCCGACAATGGACAGGGCTAAATTTTGAACAGCTAATAAGAACAGCTGCAGATAGAGAAGAGTTTAAAATTGTAGTAGCCAACCTCCATTAAGGAGAGGGCACTTTAAGAAGAAGAAGAAGAAAAAAGGCTTGTCTATTATAGTGTTTAGTAGTTGTAAGTAGTGTAAATGTGCAATTGTTAATTAGGTTAGTTTAACATATTAATATTTTTGTGAATTCCAGTAAATCAACGTTTGTTCATTTTCTAGGACCCTCAGTCAATTTTGAATATTGCGTTAATTTGTGTTCCAAACCATCAAGTGGTTACCCTTGAATGATACTGTATATCATGAATGTGTTGCTTGTGTGAGTCCATTTCAAATAGGTAAAGAAATAATAAATAAGACTTAATCACAATCAATTTAATTTAACTATCAGACGACCGGTTTCGCTTTCTACAATATGCAAAGCATCTTCAGGTCTCGATACAAAGTTAAACGTTTGTTGGAAACAAAATACAGTTGCCAGTGATATTATTCCTAGATGGTCGTAAATCTCGCATTAGTGTCGAATTATATGAATTGTAAGGAAATACAAATACTAGTATTGTTATATATATTGGCAGTTTTAAATACTTATGAATATTGTATTTTAATTTATATTGTATTATTATATTGAATTATGTTGCAGTGTATTTATTGTATTGTAATTTTTATATTAATAACAAAATAAACAATGAACTTTACTACAGTATGTGCAAAAAATTTTCTTGCATTTAACTCCTTTTATACATATATGAAAATAAAAATATATATTTTAATTAAAACATTGATACAATTTTTCATAAACTATATTTCTATTACAGGTCAAATGTTTATATACAGCAAACGATGCACCATTTACCTATATAACTAATTATTTTTCTCTTTCTGCTCTCTCTTACCTAAAGCATTACATACGTAATGATTGTGCGGATTGACTCCCATACAAATTTGTAACGGCGATCGCGTGTATAGAAGTACAACTTCTACCGGCAGTACCCCTGGACTGCCACACCCGTTTTTAAATTTTGTTAATAGAAAATCGACGTTTAAGTCAATTTAATGATAATAATCATAAAGAGAAAAAATAACGACCTCGAAATTGATTAGTAGATTAAGTATATCAATCACAGCTGCAAAAGAAACTTGTAAAATAGAATTTGGTAGAATAGATACTCACACGTTCATTGTAACTTGAACCATTTCTAGTATTTGAGGTAATTGGTGGGTTTCTTCTGCACCTGCAGCTCTAAAATAATATTAAACTGTAATTGTCGTCAACATAATTATGAAGGACATATTTTTAGCATTTTACCTTTTAGGTTCTAGTATTTAATTATCAGAATTTTACCACTAATAGTAAGATTTTGATATAGTTAAGTATTAACGTTACGTACAAAAATTTATAGCTTTTGTTTTTGTGATGGAAAATTGAAGCCTAATAAGAACTGCAGCAATACGATTATGAGCAGATAATATCGCAAGTTCCTAAGAAAAGTGTAATAAGTCAAAATAACACTATTTTTCAGGAGAGCAAAAACAATTTTTGTCATTTTTAAAATGCGATTAGATGAACCCGGAAGTGAATTTATTATTATTTCATAATCTACATAAATCTTTTTATCAAACAAAACGGTTTTGGAGATAATCAGTAATTTTTGAAAAAAAATTGATATGTTACGGTTTTCTTTGAAAAATAGTTAAAATCTATATAAAAGAATTTAAAGATACAACATATTGGAATCAAGATTTTTATTAGAAAATAGTTTTTGAACAGAACATAAACACTGTATAAACTGAAATTATCTCCTAAATTTTTCATGGATATTTTAACATAATGAATCATAGAATACTTGGTAATACGTAGGAATATATACTTTTTTTCACCAAAAACTGTAGGTCGCCTCTTTTTTTCTCAGTCAATGGTCATTTTGAATTGTAAGCTTTTTTTAATGTTGGCAACCGTGTTCGATTAGGTGAATTTTGAATGCGCTAAGCAATAGCATGCTGTTTTTTTTAGAATATCGACTGCCTTGAAATGTGTCTGAGAAAAAGAAGTTTTACTAAAAAACTTAAATGGTTCATTCTTTTTGACTCTAACAACTCTAAGGTCATTAATAGGTATCTGTTCTCCTTCTGCATTGAGATTGAAATTTGGTCCTAGGTCATTCATCAACTATTTGACATTCATGAAATCTTCTCGGTTATATACGTTAACTCTTTGACTCGGTATGGCTCCCCTTTATTTTGCATTTCTTATTATTTGAATAAACTGCTCTGGTACATAAATTGGTCCTGATTTTAGAGAACGTGTAACCTCAAAATGACATTTTTCAGTTGATAACTGATCCTTCTATGGATATTATCCATTTCACACCTGTTTTTCAATAACGGAATGTGTGGAGTCTCCCTCATTTATGTCTATGTCTATATAAAAAGAAAAATCAGAAGAAGAAGAAGAAGAAAGCATTTCTTGGAACAATTTCCAATAGAGAAAAAGTATATTCTTTGATAAGATACTTCTCAAAAATTTTACTCAAAGCTATTCGGGATATTGTTTTTTTTTTGTTATAAGTTATCTGTTAATAACAATTTCTGGCCCACTTGAAAAAATAAAAAAAATACATTTAAACTTAAAAAAATATGTAGAATCGGTTAAAAAAGTTTGATGCGGTAGAAATTAAAAAAAAATAATCGGTATATTCCGTTTCTAAGCGTCTTTTTAGGGGTCAAGCGGTTTACTCATGGACGTAGTACGTCCATGGGTAAACCGCTCGCCTACTTTTGGAAGGACAAGTATCGATAGATAGCTTGAAAACGTTAAAAGAGCTATAGATATTATAAGGTAGTTAAATATATAACAAGAAACAACAAATTAAAAGGAAAATTGGGATGATGGTATTCACATTATTAAAATAAAGTAAATATCGGAAATATTGAAGATGTATTAAATGCAGCAGTTTTAAAATAAATGTACCAGTTTTCAAAAATAACAGAACTCAACCAGTTACAATACAACAATAGTGGACATAAGATGGAAACGAGGAATAAAATAATTAGACTTCAAAATCACATCACTTTTACTTCATTTGAGATTTGATAAAAATCATTTCATCCCTGCCTTTGTTAAGTTGCAAAAATACAGCTAATAGTACCTACTGGCAATATTTAATATCTTAGTTTTAGTTAATTAAGTAAAAACTGTTTAACGTACCAACTGTTTACCCGCTAAAGAAGATCTTTCAGCATTCTTTGTGTAATATCCTTGACATTCCGTGGAGGAAGTAAATACTTTTCCCAATGAACATGGTACATCGTAGTCGGCAGGAGATACCTTTATCTCTAAAAATCACAAGACATATTTTTAATATAATATAATAAAAACTACTATCAACATTTGTTTTAGTAATATTAACAATTTTTGATTTTAGCTGCGTAGATTATTCAATAAAATAAAAAAAAACATCAATCGAACTTTAACTTAAACAAGTAGCTGTTAATCTGACAGACTTACAATCAGCAGGATCCTGGATATTATAGATGAATTTTTAAAAGAGAATAAATTATGCTTAGCTATTTTCGTAGACGTAACAGACGTATTCGATAAAATTTGGCACAAAGTTTGTTACTAAAAGTTTAAAGATATCTGTCCATCCACTATGCACAGCTAATTTATGTTCATATTTGGAAAACTCACTTTTAGTAATAACATTAGGAGATGAAACTTTCACAATTATAAAACAAGGTCTATATTTTATGATCCAACAGATAGATGGCTTACCCAGTGAAGAAGTAAAAAGTTATAACCTTTTAAAATTATGGTACAATGTACCTAAAAATGTTTTTTTTAAATGTCTGCTTTTTCACCAGATTTTTATGGAAAGGTAAACCAGCACTGGGACATGTAAAAGGTAGTAGCAAAATTAAGAACCTACTAGATTTTACTTAAAAAAAAATCTCATTAAATTTAAACACGTGTGACTGAAGTTGGTAAAACTGCCCTTTCACCATTTAAAGATTGGAAGTCTGGTGAAGATTGGTATTTGAATTTTTCAAAATACAACCGACATCCTATTAAAAAAACCTGAGATAATTAAAGCATCACGTGTAAGAAAACAAAGTGATCCATTTTTTGTTTAGAATTTCTTTGATGAACTAAAAACTCATGAATAATTTGGAACTCCATCAAAACCCTGCTAGGATATGAAATGCAAATAAAACTGCTTGTGATTATGACTCCAGGCAATAACGGATTATACTAAAGTTGTAACTGGAATCAGAGAAATAGCACAGGCAAGGACGAAACTCAGGACAAAAAACAACAACGTGACTATACAAGTATTTTTTCTATGGTTCAAAAATGTGTTTTTAAAAATTAACGTTAAAAAGCCTGGACCTCTGATTTACAGAAAGCTTTAGAAGACAGGTTATTTTTTCTCTAAATCGAGATTCCATTTGTAAAGAAAAGTTTATTTCCGAAAAGTTAAAACGATATTATGAAGAGAAAAACATTCCTGACACTATCACTAACGAGCAAAATTGTACGTGTAAGCAAACTCTGATCCCATGTACAACCTCTTGCGGGCCTACTACAGAAAGCCAGATATACATTGCAATACCTTCCACTGCATCCTGGGAGAACATTCTACTAGCAACAGTGAAATCTTCTGCGAAGCTAGAACAAAGAAAGAGGATAATTATAGATGTTGTTGAAGTGATCACAACTAAAACTTATTTAGAACACCTACAGTTATCAAAAACTAAGACAAAACCTTCGAATAATACATTCAGGTAGTGATGATGAAAATTTCCAAAAAGTAGTGCAGAGAGTGACGGCTCATAAATTTCGTAAGAAAAATGAACCTCTCTTGTTCGCTTATGACAAGATATTAGGAATTCTGGAAGACTCAAAATCAGGAGATGAAAACATCGTTAAGTTTAGTAAGGATTTAATGAGATCCAAAATAATGTCTAGGTGTTTGCTGTTTTATGATTTTTAATAAAAATTCTTGTTTCTGCATTTTTAATGTTGTATTTATTTTAAAACACAATTACATCTTTCATTATAATAACTACTACTAGTAAAATTTACCAAGCAGACCATAGTTTCCTCGTCGGTGTCCACAGTTACCCTAAATTAACGGTTAACTGTGGACCCTTGCATGTGAAAGAAGAATAATGTTACTTATCTCTCTCAATTAATTTTTTAATTTTTTTTAAAGACCAGCAGATCTTTTAAGAAGAAATTCGCAATTTAAAAAAGAAAATCGTGAGTTGAGGGAAAGGTAAATTTCCTGGAAAGCAGGATCAAAAAGATGGATAAACAAATTCGGAAACAAAACATTGTGATCAAAGGACACAATTTCAAAAGAAATGAGGAACTGGAAGATGCCACCAACTTTATAGCAAGTCAATTGAATGTGAATGTGAAAATAAAAGATGTGCAGAAAATAAGAACCTCTCAAGGGAAACCACCAGTGGCGACAGTAAAAGTAGATACAATGAAGGATAAAGAACTTATTATGAAGAATAAGAGTGAATTAAGAGGAACGCGATATTTAATTAAAAACAATCTAACCCAAGCCGAAACCTAACCACAGAAAGAGCTAAGAGATATGGCGAGAGAAGAAAAAGGAAAAGGTAATGAAACAAAAGTCGGCTATCAGAAAATATGTATAAACGATGAATGGTGGAAATTGAACCATAGTACCGAAAAACTAGAGAAAATGAAAAAAAAAACTGGGTCTACACATGCACAGTGGTCAGGAAAATATGGAAACGAATAAAGCGCGGAATAGGATGATGATAGGACAATGGAATGTTAGAGGGACTTTTGAAATATGAGATAAATATTGCAGCTATACAAGAAACTAAACAAAAAGGAAATTTCACCATGGATGTGGGAAACTACGTGTTTTTCAACAGTGGATACAATTAACGTGTATTTGAGGTAGGATTTTTTATAAAGAAAACATTTGCCAATCTGGTGATAGATTTTGAGGCAGTCATAAGCAGATTATGTAAAATAAGAATTAGAGGAAAATATAGAAAAGTAACCCTTATAAATGTGCATGCACCAACATAAAATAGAGATGAAGACGTTAAAGATAGCTTTTATGAACAATTAGAACATATGTTTTACAAAATACCATCATATGACATAAAAATAATTGTAGAAAATTTGAATGCCAAGATTGGCAGGGAGGATGTATACAAACAAATAACAGGGGGAAAAAGTAATCATAGAGACAGTAATCTGAATGGAAATAGAGTAATAGAATTTGCTTTTAAACACAATATGCGAATTATGAGCACTTACTTTAATCACAAAGAAATTCATAAAGGTACCTGGGTATCACCAGATGGACAAACAGTAAACCAAATAGATCATTTAATAATAGAAGCCAAACATATGAGAGTCATAAAAGATAGCCGTAGTTACAGAGGTGCTGATGCAAATTCGGACCACTTTTTGGTCAAAGTTAAAATGGAGCAAATAATACCCACAATTAGTAACACTAGTTGTAAAAAAATAAAAAGATATAACGGTGCACTACTTTAGGAGGGAGACTTTAAGAAAAAATTCAGGCAGCAAATTGAAGAGAAACTGAAAAGCCAGACAACAATAAATGATATAGAAAGCAGATGGGTATAAATAGAAGAAAAAATTTAAGAAGCAGCCGACTCAGTATTATCAAGAAGCAGACAATGTAAACAAACGGATTGGTATGATGAGGATTGTAAGAAAGCCATTAGTGACCGAAATAAAGCTGAAATAAATAGCATAATAACAAATAAAGAAGATACTAAAAAAGCTTATGTCGCAAAAAGACGGGAAGCAAAGAAGATTTGTAGAAGGAAGAAGCGGTCAAGTTTAGAGCAGAAATTAGTTCGTATTAAAGAAGATTTTTTACATAAACAAGTCAGGAATTTCTACCAAGAAATAAAAGGAGACCGAACCCAGTACAAAAACCATATTAAGATATTATAAAGATGAAGAGGGGAATCTGTTAGGTAGAACAGATGAAAAATTAAGAAGGTGGGCCAATTATTTCGAGAACGTATTATGTACGGACGACCAAGATGAAAGAGAACAAACGCAACTACAACATGAAGTAGTAAGGGACCCAGATGTAAATGAAGAAGTACCTACCAAGGAAGAAATTATAGAGATCATAAAAAACTTAAAAAACAACAAAGCACCTGGTGAAAATGGTATCATTGCTGAGTTTCTGAAAGAAGGTAGCGAAATGGTGCAAGAAAAAATCGCTGAGTTTATACGCGAAGTGTAGATCAAAGAGAAAATACCCAATCAGTGGAAAGAAGTAATCTTATGTCCAGTGCATAAAAAAGAAGACGTTACAGAATGTAGAAATTACAGGAAAATAGCTCTACAAGATACAGTGTATAAGATTCTGGCCATATGAATTAGAAATAAACATAAAACAAAAGTTGAAAATTGTCTAGGTGAATATCAAGCAGGTTTCAGAGCAAACATATCGGTAATAGACCAAATTTTTACAATGAAACAAATTTTAGCTAGCTCATATGAATTTAACCTAACATTACACATGCTGTTTATTGATTTTAGACAGACATATGATACTATAAAAAGAAATAAAGTATATGAAGTACTAGAATATTTTGAATTTCCACCAAAAATAGTAAGACTGACTAAATGCATACTCAATGATACTAAAAGTAAAGTCATGTTAGAAGGACAGGTTTCGGATAGCTTTATCACCAATAGTGGTCTGCGACAAGGTGACCCGTTATCAACAGATTTTTTCAATTTGATCTTAGGGAAGATTTTACGAGAATGTAACATCTACACTAGAGGCACAACATATCATCACAGGCATCAATGCGTAGCATATGCAGATAATGTTACCTTAACAACAAGGAGACCTGCAGAATTCAGAGAAATCTTTACTAGAATAGAGAGAATAGCCAGGGAATATGGTTTAGAAATAAACCAAGAAAAAACAAAATATATGGTAATGAGGGGAAAAGAAAATCATCTAGGACAGTCCTTTAGATACAAAGACCAAGTAAAGAATATAACTTTGAAGTTGGTAGCCAATTCGATTACTTGGGAGTGGCACTAACAAATAGGAACGAAGAGAACCAAGAAATCATAAAAAGAATGGCCAAAGGTAGTAAGAGTGCTAGGAGCCTGACTAAGATACTGAAGTCGAAGATAATATCCAGAACAGCAAAAAAATGAATATATACAACAGATATCCGACCTACAGTACTCTATGCTAGCGAGACCTGGACACTAAATAAAGATATGGAAGTAAAATTAGATAGATGGGAACGAAAAATTCTTAGAAGGATATACGGAGGTGTAAAAGAGGGGAACATCTGGCGAAGAAGAACGAATGAAGAAATAATGCAAATATATGAGCAACCAAAAATAACAAAACGCGCTAAAATTCAATGATTAAGATGGCTCGGACATATAGAAAGAATGAAGGAAGGAAGAGTTCCCAATGAATTAATAAACACGGAAGTTGGTACAAAAAAAAGAGGTCACCCCCGAAGAAAATGGCTAGAGTCGGCAAAAGAAGATTTGAAGTCGCTGCGGGTACAAGATTGGAAAAACTTAGTACAAGATAGAAAGAAATGGAAGAAAACTGTTAAAGCCTTGGGCCTTTGAGGCCTGTTAAGCTGAACTATATATTGAAGGGAGCATACTAGAGATTACTGATACATGTCTACAAATGAAAAGAAAGTACTTTAAAATCCAACTTCATAAGTAACTGCAAAATAAAACATTTTATATCCTGTCCACAAATACCTCACTTCACCCCACTACAAAACTTACAAATGTGTTTTTTTATAATAATTTTGGTCAACTGTTTATGTATTTTAGTTTGGAAACTGTAATAAACTGTTTATAGGCAAAAACTATATTTTTAAGATTAAAAAAAAAACAAAATCAGCTCAACGTCTTAACAGATTTCTGATCAGCTATCCCTTATATACTTTTTAAAACCTTCAAATATCTGTTTGATTTTTTTAGCTTGTTTTCTTCAATGATTGGAATAAAATATAAACCAGTCACGAACCAAGTGACTATATTTTATCCATATGGTTTAAAGTTTATTGTATAATAATATAATTAAATATTTAACGATTTAATATAATAAACATTTTGTTTTCGTTAAGTAAGTAAAGCAAGTTGTAACCATTTGAGTGGCAAATGCCAACGCCAATAAAAAAAACTTAAAAAAATAATTAAGAAAAAATTACCAGGTTCCTTGTAGACAAATCTTTTGGCCCTTGCAAACGACATTTTCACCGTACAATAGTCTCTAACAAACACGAATGATATTCTACATAAGTTAGCCGTTTCCCAAAAAGGCCTTAAAAAATTAACACTTTTGCTAACGACTTTTTAAGTAGCATACTCATTAACGATGTAGTGAATAGGTTTACCATATTATCATGTTCACTTATTTTACTAAAAATGAGGATTAAAAATAATGTTTATTATGATTCTGACCCCGCAGGTAGAATGCTAGGTTATGCTAATCACAATCACTAATTTTATAATAGTCTATTCTTAATAAAAATAGTCCAGGTAGATGAATATAAAAAACTTGTGGTTTTGTATATTTATAATTAAAAAGACCACAGCAGGATGTAAACCATTTTTGAATACCTAATGGTTCTAAAAAACAAATAAAATTAATTTATTGTAGAATGTAAAACAGAAGATTGCTCTAATAAATATATAAAAATCGAAAAACGAAGTGCAAAAAAGCTGATGCGGGTCCAAAATTCGCATTTATGGAAAGAATAAAAAAGAATAGATATTACAACTATAATAAACTTTATGATTTACCTTTATAGATTTCAAAAATGAGTTTAACATTATCGATGTAAATTCAATAATTTCTACTATGAAAAATTCCAGAATAGATTAACAGTTATAAAACAACATTAAGGGTACATACATAAAAAAATAAATACAAAAATAAGTAAGGCAACTTAAGAATTTATCAAATTTACAAGTCCATCCTGAACGAACTGCAACAAATGATAAACTACAACCAGGTAAAAGAATGAAAGTGGCCAAATGATGTAATGTTTTCCCGAGAAAACAGGACAAAACACCTTGTATAATATTGTGACTTGCATAAAAGCTATATGTTTCGAGCATTCAGAGCAATCATTTTGATTCTTGCTATCTAGCTAAAAACAAATGTATTCTGTATGTTATGGTATGGCAACTATCATGGTTTTGATAAGAGAAAAGGAAGACCGGTAAGTAACGCTACTCCGCAAGCTCGTATTCGAGAAGTACTGGCATTTCTTTCGAAGTTTCCGAATGTTCCATCTCACTACTGCCGCCAACGCAGTTCCCGATTATACCTTGCTCCTGATCTTACCATTGGGAAAATGTACGACCGGTATAAGGAAGATCCTGGAGAACAAGCAGTGAAAAACAACATGTTCCGAAAGACATTCAGGGAACATGAACCCTGAATGTCTTTCCCTGAATGTCTGAACGGTCGAATCCATCAATTATTTAACATGAACCTCGTTTAGCAATTTACAGACCAAAAAAGGATCAATGTTCCCTGTGCAATGAGACAGAGAGAACCAAAGAAACGAACACGGAAATACCAACAGCATGTTCAAAGAAAACATGCAATATAGGTTATGAAAGATGAAAATAAAAAAGCTGCACAGGACAATAAAAAGATTATTTACGGTAGTTTTGACCTTCAGGCACTTATGACAATAGCGTTTGCTGGAGATTGTCAAATTTACTATAAGCGGAAGCTTTCGTTGCTTAATTTTACTATCTTTGATTCGTGTAATCAAAGGCACTGTTTTTTATGGGATGAGACAAAAGGAAAAAAGGGAAGTTCTGAAATATCAACCTCTTTATTAAAGTACATTGACTCATTAGATCCAGATAATTATACAACAACTTGTGCTCTACGCAGATACTTGCGGAGGCCAAAATCGAAATCGCAATGTACTTGCAAGTATGTTTTACGCCGTGAATATCTCTAATTTAGAATTGATTGATATTAAATTCATGGAAAGTGGCCACAGCTACCTTAAGGCCAACAGCATTCACGCCACTATTGAACGATCTCAAAATTCAAAATGTATTTACACCACCAATGAATATAAATTATTAATCGAACTTAGCAGGAAACGTCCTACAATGTCCAGCAGCTAGCGTACCACGACATTTATGACAGAGGATTTGTCAAACAAGTTAGTGCAAAATAGAAAAAAAGCAATTGATGGCAAAATATTAAACTGGCTAAAGCTTAAATGGATCAGATTTGAAAAAAATGTTGACAATGTAGGATTCAAATACGATGACGTGCGTGGAGAATTTAATTATATGAAAATTAACCGTGAAGAAGTCAATGGGAAAATATTTCTTTAAAACGGAAATATCACAAACGCTTAGACATTTGAATTGCAAAAAAAGGGACTGCCCTCGGCTAGAGGAAAGAAAGATGAGGCAGTATGGAACCGCAAGGAAGAGGAGGATTCGGACTACGATTAATTTGGTTTATTAGTGTTTAATGAATGTATTTATAAATTATAAGACTTCTACCTAATTAAAAAATATATATAACGCAAGTTTTGATTTATGTTTTACCTTGTATTTTAATCCCACTAGTTGTCACTATTTTAATTATTATCTTACTTATCTTAATTATTATCATATTCTTATGATTAAAACATGTACTTCCCACAATTAAATCTTTGGAAGCTGCCATACTAATAAGCCTTAAACCATTGTCATTAGTAACGTCGTGAAGGCTGTGTTTACAAATATAATCTTGGTAGCATATCTCTTTTCCTATCTGGGAGTTCATGTCTCCAATGATTATTTTAATATCGTTTTTGGTACAGTTATCATATGCTCTTTCGAGATCTTCGTAGAATAGATCTTTAATTTCTTCGTCTTTTTCCTCGATTGGCGCGTGCACGTTGATCAGGCATATGTTAAAAAAATTTTCTTTTATTCGAAGGATGCATAACCGATCATTTATGGCTTTAAAACCAATAATAATTTTTTTTTTGATACTAGGAACGCGGTTCCGAACATGTCGGTTCGGGTTGCAGCTGTAATATATATCATGTTCTTTTTCTGCATAATGCCGGTTTCTGTCCATCTCATCTCTTGAATGGCTGCAATGTCTATTCCATATTTTAGGAGTTGATCTTGCAGTAGCTTCAGTCCCGATGTCCTATACAGCGTTCTTACATTCCAAGTACTGATCTTTAAATCATTGTCCTTAGTTCGGTGCGTGGGTCGTCGTCTTGAATTCAGTCCGGCTTTTCTATCTCGAGATTTCGTAACAATAGGTTTTTATGGGATGAGGGAGTTAGCCTCATGCCCAACCCCCTTTTTGCAGGACCATTTCTCTCTTCCTGGTCAGCCCTGACCCCACCTTCCACTGGGGTTGCTTAACCAGTCTCTAGTAGGGTTGCTCAGGTTTACCGAGGTTCACCCGTGTGATTCGGATCACACTTCTCGGAGGTGAGGATAGGAATTGAGTAGGAGAGGCTAGAGGTGTTATCTGGATGCAACGCCTTATGATGCGCATCACTACTCCATTAAAACCCCACATCTTTGTTATAACAACCCATAAAATAATACGGAGAATACCTAGCATCTCAGAAATCTTATCTTTCAAGAAATTGAAATGTTTCTGCTGCAGAGTACTGTTTTCAGTTTGTTGAAAGAATTTCTTGCCTGTCCTATTCTTGTCTTAATCTCTTCTGTGTACTATTATTTTCGTTAATTATTGTACCCAGATATTTATATTTTTCAACTTATTTAATTTGTTTTCCATGTATTGTTATGTTTTCTTAGCGCTGTTGGGCTTTTGTAATTACCAAAAATTGTGTCTTTTTTTGAGTCTAGGGACAGTCCGTTTTTTCACTGACTCCTACCACTCTGTCAACCATTTGTTGTAAATCCTCAAGACATTCCGCAATAAAATAGTGTCTGGAATAGGAAAAAAATTGAAATATTGGAATATGACGCAGTAAAGGTATTAACTATTTTTTAATTTCTTAAAGTCGGAAACAATGTTATACCTTTACTAAATATAATTAATTCATTTATAAAGGAAAATAGTTATCAAGTGACTGAACTAACAGTATATTTGCCATTATTCTTTTTAAGTGCTTTTATTCACACTACTTAATTAACTTTATAATTACTTTAATGAGAAAAGTTTATATTATTATTAAACGCAATTGTTTATATTCAAATTGTTGATCCAAAAATGTTTTAAAAATTGGAACCAGAGTTTCTGTATGTTATAAATAATTTGCTATTAAAAAATAGGAGAGGTTGTAAAAAGAGATTACTAAACAGTACAAAAAAATGATAATTCATATAGATTTAAGGAAGTTAAGGGGTTTGAATATCTAGGAACACTTATAACACGAAAATCAAACATAACAATTGACTAAGCAAATCGAACATGAAGTGAATTTTGATATTTTGATTGGTGGTTCCAATATGTGCCACTTGGCCGATCAGTAACTAATAGGTATGTTTTATTACAGAATTCCAAAATGAAAAGACGTCTTAATTTGAGTCAATTAACAAGTCATGATGCTTACGACTAGCAGATATCCCATCAAAGGGATCTAATGCATCCGATTTTAATAAGAACGAGCATGAATATTTCGACATAACTTTGCAGTCATATGCTTTAGATGAACAAAACGATATTTCAGACAATGAAGATGTTGCGCATGACAGTTACTGTGGTGAAGACGAGGTATCAGTTGCTATTCTTGATGAGTTAAAATAGTCCACCTACCCAAATAAAGCCGCTCAACTTCATACTTTCTCTGAAAACATTGGACCAAATGTTCCTGATACTATAGAGACTCCTCTTGATTTCTTTCTTTATTTGTTTGGTGAGAACCTGTTGAATACACTTGTTTCCCAAACTACTTTATATGTACACCAAGAAAATAACAAAAACAACACTTCCGCTACACTTGAAGAAATAAAGTGATTTTGGGAATAAATTTGCTGATGGGTGTGAAAAAGTTGCCCAGCCATAGAGATTTTTGGTCTGCAAATTTTGTTATCAGGGATCAGTTTGTTTCTTCATGTATGTCGCGTGACAGATTTAGATAGTTGCTTACTCATCTTCATATAAATGACAAATTATTACAACCTAAGAAAGGTAATGGCAACTACGATAAACTCTACTAAGTGCGGCCATTACTAGAGGAACTTTCAGCAACTTATCAAAGCTCATTTTATCTCAGTAGGCAAAAATTAATAGACGAATCGACGATAAGGTTCAAGGGACGAAGACG